AAGGCGCGACCGGGCCTCGTCGCCCGCCTTTCCCCCTCGCGCCGCATCTTGCGATGGTTCGCTGCTGCCGCCTGCGGAGTTTACATCTCCTTCTTGTTTCATGGTCGGGGACGACGACTCTTCATTTGCTGCTTGTGGGCCTTCCTCGGACCTTGTCGGCGCCTTTTCTTCCCCCGTGCCCCCGGGATTGCCGTTGCCAGCGCTGCCCCCAGTTGCGGTAAGTTTATGTTTAATTGCCGCCACAAAAGTTGCGTTATGCCTGCAGTACTCATCCAGAAGTTCCGTGGCATTTTTGCTGGAATTAAGCAACTTCAAAAATTCCCAGTTCTCCTCAGTGCAGTAGTCCATATCCCACGCCCGGCCCCCGCCGGCGGCGCAGCACAGCGCGCAGAGGGCGCACACCAACAGCAGCGCACGGCCAGCCATCGCCACACTCCTCCCACCGCAGCACAACACACACGCACACAGCGTCTAGCGAGGGGCAGAAAAAAAAAGGGAGAAAAAAGGGGCAAGCACACACACACAAATACACAGATATGAGCAGCCCGCGGAATGGGTGCATTCAACCAACACACACACAAACCGGGAAAGAAGAAATGCTCGAGGCATTGTCGTCCAGTTAAGGAAGAAAAGCAGCAGCAACAACGGCAGAAGACGGTTTTGTGCACGTTCCTCCGCATGTGCCCTCACGATAGTCCGCAGCGGCAAACCTCACGCCGCAGCGAGGCCCATAGGCCTTTTTTCCCCTCCCGCCACACACACACACACACACGCGGACGAAGTGGACGTGCCGGCGGCCCACCACCCCACCCCTCCCGCGGCCCCCTTCGCAGCGCCCACGTCGTTTGCTCCCCACCCCTCGCGGGACTCCCGCCAGACGCCACGCAGCCCCACGCAGCACTCACCCGTGGCCGCCGCGAAAAAAAAAACGTCACCGACGGCAGCCGCCCCCTCCCCCACCTAAGCGCCCGCAGGCGCACTGCCGCTGCGCAGCACCTGCACGAGCGCCGTGCCGGCGACCGCCACTTCCCCCGAGTCCTCCTGCAGCCACGCGCCCCGCCCGTGCACCGCCGCCCCCACCGCAGCCGCAGGGCGCGCACATCACGCGGGACAACATGCGAAGTGACGCTGCCTCCCACAGGCGTCGTGCAGTTTCTGGTTTCTTTTGTTTTGTTTTGGCGCGGCGCGACTGTCTGCGTCTCCGTGGCGGCGGCGGACGAACCCCTCGCGGCCGCACTCCCCTCACACACACACACGCAGAGAAGTGTGGGGGCGAGGCGCAAAAGAGAGCCGCGCACACACGCCGCAGCAGGCGGCACGGCGCAGGCGAAGTGCGACGCCCCCGTCCTGCGAGGGGGAAGACACGCGGAGAAGAAGCCGGCCGCACAGCGCACGCCCGACAAGGCACGCAGCGAGAGGGACGGGCGAGCCCAAAGCCCGCCGCACAGCCTGCCGCTGCTCTGCCGCAGCGGAGAACAAAAAGAAAGAGCCGCCGCCGCCGCAAACTAAAGTTGCCTCTAGCGGGAAGGAGGAGGAGGAGGAAACGGGGGCGTGTCGGCGGCACAGCCAGCGGCGGCAGTGGGAAAACAAGACGCGGAGACACGCAGCGACAACAGCGGCGGACACGGCGCACAAACTCAGCGTGAGCCGCAGTGAGTTGCCCCAATAAAAAT